CAGCTCATCCATATGGCTTGCAGGTACTTCAAAATTTTTGGCAAATGTGGAATCCTACATGCACAATACAATTCATGTCAGCCCTTCGTCATAGTAATCGATATATTTTTTATGCAGTTACCTTTTGCTTGTCTTCAAATATTTGTACTGGATGTGGTTCTTCACTATCTATGCCACTATCTTCCATTTTAAAATCACTTGATAACTACAGAATTTCTGTTAGCAAACTGCTAACTTTTAGTTTTTAGAATGAAATGCTTTACATGTTATAATCATCATTGTTCTTTCTAGTTTGGCATACTGCGCATGCGTCAAACACAGCTGCAAGTCCGCTAATCTTAACGATATTGATTTTTCCAACTCACCAGGTGTTGCCATTCCAGGAATATATATATATATATAATATATATATTTGTATAAATGAATTTATTTAAAAAAAACCACAATTTTTTTTCATATCAAATTTATTTACAAATTATTTTCTAAACGAATTTTTCTTACAATTTTAAATCAATGCACAAATTTAAAAGTATAAAAAAAGGCACATGGAAATTTATTTATTTAATTAAATATCGAAATAAAATTATTATTAATCATTCGTTTATAGTTTATACATAGAGGTCTATCAACATAGAATCTATATCTTTTTTATTATGATTAGTTTGAGCAATAAATAGGAACAAATTACAAAGCTAATTATCTTCACAGAAACTATGATCGTTTTTAATGGCTGCACTTAACAAATTCTAAGTTATATATTATAAATTTCTCCATTTATTTCAATGTTTTTAGTTTATTAAGTATTTCAGTATTAGGTATTTCTATTATTGTTATAAACTAAACAATTGATGCTTTCAACATAATTTTAACCTAGTTTAATACGCTTACTTGGGCCTGAGCCGCATTTGCTCTGTGCGAACAAGCATGCAAAAAATTCGTTTCTATTTTTTTAATTTCAGTAACTTTTTTAGTCAGTGAAATTAGTGTGTGATTACAATTTAACGTTCTTCATTTACGCTAACTTTGGCTGCTTTATTGCTTAAAGAGCATTAGGATGTGACGGGATAATCTGACCAGCTAGTGTACAAGATCTGCAACAGAATTTAGCGTAGTACTGATTACTGCAGTATCTTCCTCGAACAATCAGCGCGCAGTTCGCAAAGTAAGGATTATCCACACATTCTGGATGAACTTGAATTGAGGCTGCAAAAACAAAATTCATATAGTAACTTCAGAAATTAATAAAAACATTATTATTTTATCATAAAGAAATTAGAAATAAATAAGTGATAATACGAGGGTGGTTTAATAAGTCAGTGCATTTTTGAATTTCCCGCGCAATTACTCCAAATGCAACAGTGCTGCCGTCAGCTGAAATCTACTAGTGGGTAACTTTTTAATTTTGAGCAAGCAACGTCGTTCAGTTAGTGTTTGATAGCCGTTTTTCCATTCCATCACTTTTTCCATTTTCATAAAAATTCACGAAGTTGTCTGGTTTAAACGGCTATCAAACAACAACTGAAGCTTGCTCAAAATTAAAAAGTTGCCCACTGGTAGATTACAGCTGACGGCAGCACTGTTACATTTGGAGTAACTGCGCGGGAAATTCTAAAAATCACTGATTTATCAAACCTCCCTCGTATATTAAGAAAAATGGTTTTCAACTGTTAATAAAATACAATGAACGCAATTATTTACTCCAGGGTTCTACTATTGGTTCTACTACGTCAATATAATACAGTTTAAGTCTCTAAATATCAAGCTATATATATATGATTATATAGATTATACGAAAAAAAGTAGTCACGAAATCTAGTGGCAGCTAGTACATTTAATATTTGCATTAATTACAGAAGCAATGACTACTGAAAATTTTATTATAAAAATGTCAGCATATATCAATATAGCTTAATTCTCTAGATAACGGAAACAATTACAGAAACACAATGATTATTGCAGATTTCATTTAAAAATTTACAACTTAAATCCTTGATGTCGCAAGAATCAATTGCATCGGCCTATTGTGTAGTAGAAGAAGTTACTTAAATTAACCGACTTTACGAAAATCCATCATCAAATTATGATGCCACGGAATAAAAACAATCCCCAAAACCAAGAACAGAATAAAAATGAACTTTATCTAATTTTTATCAAATTAATATTAAATTTTAAACTATGTTGTGTTAATGACCAGTTTCTGTTAAACTTAAAAATTACGCTATTACCTAAGTTAATAAATATTTAATAAAGAATTAAATAAATTTCTTCACTTACATTCAACATTTATCTTCTCTTCAGCAATATTATAGCTGACTGAATTTTTAGCGACGCAGCCATACATGCCCGCATCTTCAGCAGTAATATTGTTTACAACCAGACGATATGGATTTGCTGTAAATACAATATAAAATATGCATTTTAATATCTTATCATAACCATTATATATAACTGAAGCTTACTTGTAATTTGTATTCGATCACTTGGCAGTAATGGAGCTGAGTCTTTTATCCATGTTACATCTGGTGTTGGGAATCCTTGTACAGAGCAACTTAAAGCAATTGTTGAGCCTGGAGTATAATTATTTCTAGGATCCAAGCCTAAAACCACTTGCACCGGTACTAAAGCAATAAATGTGAATAATAATTACAAAAGGATATTAACTAAAATCTATAAACAAAGCGATTCCAATTCACCAATACGTCTGTATGACAACAAATTACTGTGAAGTCAGCTATTTTAAGTTACTTTTTCCATTACGCTATATGCCGATATAGGCCATGAGATCTAACGCCAACAAGTACATGGTTTTCATATACTACCTTCATTAAAGGTTTTCATGGAAAAATGTTCAACTTTAAGATCTTATAACTCAAAAAAAAGTTAAACAGGCGTATAGCGTATTGGAAAAATTTGTTAAGAATAGTTAACTTTGTCAGAATGGAGTGTCCGGATTATCGGAATAATACATTAAAAACAATCAACCAAAACAAGTTTTCAAATGAAATTGAAACATGCCAAACGTATCATGCAAATGTGTACTTACCCACTTGTGGACGAGTTGGTGGCTCCACCTCAATTGGTGGTTGTGGTGGTACATAACTTGGTGTCTGTCGGTAAGGATACGCAGGTCTTGCCGTTGTTGGTACTCTTGCCGGATCAATAATATATTGCAAATAAGCAGAGTCTTCGTTATTAACAGCACGTGCAGGACCTACAGCCTTAAGCACAATATTCATAGAAGACGGCTTACCAATTCCGTTATACACTTCGCAAGTATACGGACCCAAGTCAACTAATTGGACTGAACGGAACATAAGGGAATAATCACGGGTAAGTTCAAATTTATCGCTTATTAGACCCAAGTGTTTGCGATGGCGCCACCAACTCACATGTGGAGCAGGGTGTCCACCAGCTGGACAGCGAACTAAGGCAGGACTATTGAGTGTAACAATCTGTGTACCATTCTTATCACCATATATGTATGAAGGTATTTCTTTAGGTTCTGTATTTATGATGTTTTCAATAATTTTTTAAAGTTAACATGCATTAGAACAAAATAAGCCCGAAACCATTTGTTACATTAGCGAACAACATAAAAACATGCCTTAAGTTAGTATATTGTCAAAGCCAAACAAACATTAAATTATATCAAACCTGTAATTTGAAGCTCTACTTCACGTCGCACAGGTTCACCTAGGCCATTGCTTGCAACACAGACATATGAGCCAGTATCAGTTTGGCGCACCTGTACAATGGTCAAGTCACCGGATGCCGTAAGCAGGTAACGTCCTTGATTAGTATTGATCTATAAAATAAACGCTATAAACAAATGAGATTAGAAGAAATTTTGCATATTACTAACCAGCACATTTTGCCGAGACCATGTTACATTGGGTGCTGGACTACCAGTTGCATAACAACGTAAAACAGCAATACCACCTACAGCGGCCTGCACATTCACTTCCTGTGGTTTTTTCGGTTCTAAAGCTGCCTTTGCATCACTTGGGTAAGTAACTACTGGAGTTGTTGTGGGTCGTGATGTTACTGGCGTGGGTTGTGAAGGATGTACACATATTGCTCCGCAGTCATCACTACAACACTTATTTTCACCACGGCAGTCCGCATCTGTGTAGCACTCACGTGCGCAATTACTGGAGTTTGCTAATATTGATGGACACTCTCCTGGCTTATTAATATCTCGGCATACGGCTTCGAATTGTCGATTAGTATCGCTAGATATGTCTACAGCACATCGTTGACCTTCTGGACAAGACTGTTGTTCACAAGGGTTCTCACATACACAACGTGAGCATCCGTCTTCAGAAGCAACGCGACGCATACCAAAGGCACAACGTAACTGACGACATTCATCTTCGTAGGTTTCGCATTTATTCGGCAGGACTTCATTAGTTTGGTCGTCTGGTTGTTGAGGATGCAACGGTTCTAATTAATATTAAAAAGAATTTATAAAGTTGATTCAACTTATTAGCCAACTGAAATTTTCTCTATAATAGTGAAAATAAAATTATACCATTCCATACCATACCCCGTGCGAAACTAATAATGAACGTGCAATAAACCAAAATAAAAAAACAAAAATACCAAGCAATTTTAACAGTGTTTTAACTAAAGTGATATAATTTAAGTGATGGGTGCTTATAGTGAAACCAGTGCATTAAAGTGTAGGGTGTGTGCATTATAATTTTTAAATTTGCCCACTAGGCAGGCTGGGCTTACTTGCACAATAATCATAACAAGACTCATATGAACGGAAATTATTTTGATTGCCAGAGCAACCACTGTAAATAAAGGATACGCATGTGCCTCTTTCGTCATCATAAAACCAACGACGCTCAAATATCGAAGGTCCATCGCACTTTCCAGTACTCGCTGGTAATTTGCATATATCTGCTCATACAAACAAATATTGTAAGTTTATTGTGACTGATTATTTCGTACAGTCGTTTTGCGTTTTACCTTTATTTTCTTGTACTACTGGTTCCTGACCTACAATACAAACCGATTGACATTCAGAGCGACTTTCAAATCTATTACCGGTTCCATCACATCCGCCATAAGTGAATGGATCACATGTACCAGTCGCTTTATTGTAATAGAAACGCGTCTGCCATTGTCGGCAGGGTCCAGTCATAACTGGCTCATTGCATACGTCTACCATTTTTCAGTTAGAAATTGATCAAGATATTTTAAATAGTATTTACTTACCCATTCCTTTGAATTCGCCGCATTGACGATCGCATAGTTCCTTGCTTGTAAACCTATTACCATTGCCACCACATCCTGAGAAAGTAAATTCAGTACATGCCATAGTATTTCTATCATAGTACCAAGCAGCGGTATAATTTTCGCATTCTCCTGCATCCACTGGCAAGTCACAAACTGAATAATTCTAAGTATAGATAATTTATAAAATCAGCTAATCTTTTTCATATGTTTAAAAATTATACTAACCGGTGGCTCTTCAGGTACTGCTGGAACACTATGACCACAATAATCCAAACATTCGTTTTCAGTAAAGAAGTTATTTTTGTTCGCGCGACATCCAGTGAATATGAAATCATGACATTTCTGAGAGCGTTCATCATAATACCATCTAGTCAGGCTTTCATTGCATCTTCCTTCGAAAGGTGGCAGAGAACATGTTGCTTGAACATCAAAGCATGCATTTTGGCATTCATCTTCGCTTTCATAATTATTGGCATTGCCACCGCAACCGCTGTATATAAATTCATCGCAAAAACCTTCTTGGCTATTGTAATACCAACGATTCTGGTTATCATTACAGTCGCCTTTTTCAGGATACAAATAACATTTTTCTCCCTCACTTGGTTGCTCAATTTCAGGCTTTGCATTTGTTTCAGGTTGCCCAAGTCGAGTATCAATTTGCGGAGCACATCGGCTATTACAATCCTGTTCGTTTTCAAACCTGTTATTATTTCCACCACAACCGCCATAATAGAATTGCGCGCAAATTCCTATGCTTGAATTGAAATACCACTTCAACTCATACTGATCACAATCACCTATATCAGCGGCTGATTGGCATAAATCTTGTTCTGTTGGCGCAGGAGTTTGTGTATGTGGTGCTGGTGGCAATGGGGGTTCAATACAACGTTCAGAGCACTCTGACTCAGTGTTAAATCTATTTTCATTTCCTCCACATCCTCCATAATAAAATTGGTAGCATCCGCCCAAGCTGGTATTGTAATACCATTGCACAACATAATTATCACATGTGCCACGATCTGCATTATAGTTGCAGATATTATCACTGGTAGGTGGTGGAGGTGGTCTTTCTGGTTCTGGTTCGGGTTCAGGTTCAGGTTCAGGTTTTCGTTCACACTGTTGGAGACATGCTTCTTCTGTTGCAAATTTATTACCATTTCCACCGCAACCGCCATAGTAGAACTGGCGACATCGAGCATCTTTTGTGTCGAAGTACCACATGGCAACATAATTGGTACACTCGCCAACTTCAGCAGGAATTTCGCAAACATCCTTGGCTACACATTGTAAGTAAATACATAATATTTAATATTAGAGTATAAATACTGATATAACATTAGCATTTATTGTAGCTTAGCTTGACAATGAAAGCAAACGCCACAACATCAACCTTACCAACTTCCTTGGGGCAATGAGCCTCACATGATTCCAATGATAAGAAGTTATTTTTATTGGCCCCACACCCTGTGTAGTAGAATGGCATGCACTTCTTGTCAGTTTCCGAATAGTACCAACGGGCGTGTTGTTCACTGCAATCACCGGTTTGCTTAGGAAGCGAACAATATTCTAGTGTTTATGTGCATAGTTTGCAATGCATTTAGTGAATTTCGTGGGATTTATATATATTGAAGGGTATAAAGCAAGCAAGGATAGCATTCAACAAGCAGGTAGACATTCAAGTAATTGTTGTGTATAAGTCAGGAAAAAATAAAATAAAGTAAAAAACCATAACCAAAAAATAAAAAATGCTTGGTGGTTGCCATCACCATCATTAATTACAGTACTTAATATAAATAATAAAAATTTTAAGCATTCCGCATACCAAACTTAACTTAAGATAGCAAACACCATAACAAAGATATATTCTATATACTGAAATCAAACCTTTATGTATTCCCGGTTGCCTGCAGTGGTATGTGCAAGCGTGTTCTGTGGGATAATTATTCTTATTTCCTTTGCAACCGCCGTATATGAATGGACGACATACATCTGTTTGATTATCATAGAACCAGCGTTCAAAATTGCCTTCACATGGACCCTCATCCATAGGTTGATCACATGGTGCTAAAAAGATTATATTTCAAACAATTTTAATATAATCAAAACTATTACCATCAGTCACACTTACGTATGCTTTCGCTAACTGTACACAACGATTGACACTCTTCCAAGCTATCAAAGCGGTTACTTGTACCATAACAACCACCATAATTGAATTGTTCGCAACGGTTAAGTTCAGAATCAAAGTACCATTTTTTATTAAACCCTGTGCATGGACCTGAACTCTTCGGTAATAAGCAAGTTTCTTTTCCTTTGTACTCCTGACATGTTGCTTTGCAATCTGCTTCAGTTTCAAATCTATTGCCATTACCTTCGCACCCACCATACCAAAATCGTGCACAAGCTCCATAGGAGGTATCAAAGAAGTACCAAATGCTGAAGTTGCCGCAAGGACCCGTTTCTTTCGGTGCACCACATGCTTTTTGTGGTGGTTCTTTAACATTTTCGCAACCTTCAAATTTGGTTCCATTAGCAGAATTAATTCCATCTGGACAACAGCCAAATTTACTCTCCAAACACGTACATCCCTCACTATTTGGTCCTTTAGCTGGTGTTTTTTCATCAGGACAGCATTGAAACTCTGTTTGAGAACAATGGCATCCATAATGATGTGGACCTTGTGCAAATGTAACGCCATCAGGGCAACAGCCAAATTGCATTGTGTGACAAGCACAGCCCTCAAATTTAGGTCCGCTTGCGGGTGTGATTTTATCGGGACAACAGCCAAATTGTGTTGTTGTGCAATCACAACCTTCGTTATTAGGACCTCTAGCAGATGTTTTTTTGTCAGGACAACATCCATATGGTGTATAATTACAATCACAGTCTTCGAAGTTAGGACCGCGGGCACTATTGATGTTATCGGGGCAGCAACCATAAGGTGAATTCAAGCAACAACCTTCACCAAGTGGTCCATGTGCTGGTGTTTGATTATCAGGGCAGCATCCAAATTGTTCTCTTGTACAACTAGCGCATCCCTCACCATTTGGACCAGTAGCAAAGGAACGACCATCATCGCAACATCCATTAACAGAATTCTTACAGTCTTTTGAATCAACGCCATCACAACCCTCAGAGTTTTTACCTTTAGCTTCCGTTTTACCATCTGGACAACAACCAAACTCTGCAGAAGAACAGGACTTCACAACACTTTCGTCAGGAGTTGTAGTCGTGAGATCAGATACATTGGTGACTTCTGATTCAGAAGTGGTTTCTTCTGTTCCTTCTTCCGTTTCCGTCGTAGGAATTTCAGTAGTTGTGGTAGGAGGCTCAGTTGTTGGTTCAGGACAACCTTCATCATTTTCGCCATCAGCTGGAGTAAATTTATCGGAACAGCATCCAAATAATGTTTCAGCGCACTGAGACTTCGGACAACCTTTATGATTTTTGCCTGCTGCAGGAGACACACCATCAAGACAACATCCAAATTCAGTTTCAGCGCACGTTTTAGCAATTGGGCATCCTTCATCAAATGGTCCCGAAGCTTTAGTTTTGTTATCAGGACAACATCCATATTTAGAAGTCTTACAATCCTTTGGTTTTTTAGGCTTGCATTTTCGTTGCTTAGGTTTTTTACTAAAGACATTATCAAGTATACTCGAAGTAGTTCCTTCACTGTCATCTTCGGTGGTTGACCAAATATCAATAGTTGTGTCTTCGGATGACATTGAAATGTCTGTAGAGCTTTCAGTTGTTGACATGGAAACATCTGTAGAGCTTTCCATGGTTGACATTGACATGTCTGTAGAGCTGATGGAACTATCTGTTGATCCAATTTCAGTACTCGACGTTTCACCTGACGCAGTTGTGGCAGTATTTTCTGTTGTTTCTTCTGTTGAACCAATTTCGGTAGATATTTGTTCAGTTGAAACCGAACTTTCATCAGAAGATGTTGATATTTCACTAGTTTCGACAGTAGATAGAGAAGTATCAGTTGTATCATCTCCCGAGCCCTCAGTACTTAAGCTCTCTGTAGATATTGTCGATTCATCACTACTTGCACTTGAATCCGTGGTTATTTCCACAGTGGTTTCAGTACTTCCAGTTTCTAATGACTCCGTTGTATCAGAACCTGAAGTGTCTGTAGAAGAAGAGGAACTATCATCGCTGACTTCTGTAACTGACTCTGTCGAACTACTCGCGTCTGTGCTTTCTGTGCTCAATGATGAAGATATGACTGTCGACATATCGATTGTAGACTCAGTGGATAATTCAATAGTGCTGTCTGAAGAACTAATAGTTGTTTCGGATGATCCTTGTGATGACGAGTCCTCAGTTGATCCCTCACTTGATAAGGATGACTCGCTAGAGGTTTCAGTAGAGAATTCCGTTGAGATTGAGGATTCTGTTGACATATCTGTTGTGGATTCAGTTGACAAAGATGAACCCAGAGTTGTTTCCGATGATCCTTCTGACGATGAAGTCTCAGTTGACCCTTCAGTTGATAAGGATGACTCGCTAGAAGTTTCAGTAGAGGATTCTGTTGACATTGAGGATTCCGTTGACATATCTGTTGTGGATTCAGTCGAAACAGATGAGTCAGTAGAGGAGCTAACAGTTGTCTCCGATGATTCTTGTGATGATGAAGACTCGGTTGACAAATCAGTTGATGAGGATGACTCACTTGAAGTTTCAGTAGAGAATTCTGTCGACATTGAGGATTCGGTTGACACATCTATTGTGGATTCAGTGGATACAGATGGCTCAGTAGACTGGGAAGATTCAGATGATTGTGGTGACACAGTCGAATCAGTAGACTCCGTTAAGTCAGTTGATTCACCTGTTTGCGCTGTTTCAGTTGACTCTGTAGATTCTGATAATTCCGTAGATACTGTTGAACCTAATGAATCAGTTGAGGAATATCCCGAATCTGTTGATGAAGACAACCCGTCAGACGAGCTTGTATCAGTGGCAAATGAAGTTTCTCCTGATACTGTAGAATCAGGAGGACTGGTTGTATCCGTTGTATCACTTGAATCGGTTGATGCTGATAAGTCAGTTGTAGATTCCGAAGTATCTTGAGAGCTTGATAAATCAGTTGTTTCACTTGTCATATCAGAAGACGAAATGGTTGACCCTTCTGAACTTCCATCAGTAGATGCCTCCGTAGACGATGATGTATCAGAGGAAGAAGTACTTTCTGTTGAAATATCGCTGTCCGTAACAGATGTTGTACTAACTGGTGACTCACTTGAAGAATCTGAAGAATCACCACTTCCTTCTGTACTTAAACTTGAACTATCCGTTATATCAGTTTGATCACCTGATCCTTCAGTTGTTAATGGAAGATCTGTTGAAACATCATCTGAGCTAGTTTCGTCCGATGATGGAGCATCACTAAGCATTAGTTCATCTGTAATTAATGAAGAAAGTGTGGTTGATTCATCATCTAAGTCAATGCCTTCAGTTAATTTAAGATCTTCTGACATTTTTTGTGAAACAATTTCAACATCATCATCGTCCATGTCCTCAATGCATTCTTCCTCAGAATCTTCATCATCATCAAGGGGTTTAGAAGTACTGTCAACTGGAATTACTTCATCATCAGTGCAAGGTTGTACATTACATTTTTCGGAAATGGCTTCCATTTTGGATTCATCACAATTTAATGATTTTGTTCCATTTGATAAACACAACACTTCCCGTACCTTTTCGCCACCACCGCAATCTTTACTACAGTCATTCCATGGTCCAGTAAACCATTCGCCAGGACACTCTTTAACTTCACCTTCACATTCTTGTTCCGATTCAGGTTTCTTAGAAGAATCACACTCGGAGTCACTTACTGCTGAAGTTATAGTTTTGCCATCGAATACACCACATAAAACAATTCTCGTTTGAACGCCTTTTCCACAGGCAGACGAACATTTACTCCATTCTGATGTAAACCATTGCGTAGCACACGTTTTAGACTTGCATGGTCTAGATAAAGTTGGAACTTCTGGTGCACAAAATTCATCAGGATAGATCTTTCCATCTTTCGATGCGCAAACAGCAGTACGAGTTTCAACATTTTGACCGCATTCCTCACACTAAGGGCAAAAAACACGATAAATAAATATGCAGCCTATATTATGAAAAGTATTTACCCCACTCCACTGTGATATAATCCAATCGACGCCCTCACATGGACTTAGCATACAAGATTTTTCTGTTTCTGGTTTTTCATCCAAGCAATCCTCTTCATTCAATACTTTCTTATGGCCATTTTCTTCTATATAACAGGTCACCTTACGTTTTTGGATGCCTTCTCCGCATAATTTGTCACACTAGTAAAAAGCACAGTTAATTATAAAGTTCAGATAAAAACATAACTAATGATACCGGTGTCCATGGCCCTAAATGATATTTTGGACAGTTTTCAACATCCCTGTTACATTCTTGTGTATCTGCAGGTTTATTTCCAACCTGTTCTAGACAAACTGAATCAGCCTCTTTTGTTCTATCGCTGAAATCATAAATTTTAGTTGCCGGTATTGTCAAAAGTAAAAATTAAAAAAATTCTAATAGTTCTTATTACCCATTTGGTGATATACGTTCACATGATATTGTACGATTTTGAACACCATCATGTCCACATCCTTTAGAACATTTGCTCCATTCTTCCTCAACCCAACGTGGTGCACAAGGGTCGTTGCCACATTCCTGAGTTTCTGCTGGTTTACTATTACTATCACATAAGGTAGGATCTACTTCTTCTAAATTCAAACGATTATTACACGTTACAGTTCTTGACTGAGTGCCACCACCACATGACGCACTGCACTCATCAAATTCTTTATGTGTCCATGTATATACATTTGGCGATGAATGGCTTAGCGATTCTGGTATACTATATTCATAGTCTATACTAACATTTTTATCCTGAACAAGCATTACAATAAAAATAGCCTCTGTTATTGGCCCGCTGCTTGTTAATTGATCAGGGGCAGCAAATCCTGTAGGTTTCCGTTGATAATTCCACCACGAACCCGCATAGAACATAGGACGTGGGAAATCAATACGCCAATTTCCATTCAAATAATAGTGGCTTGTTAAGTTACGGCAAGCTAAGTAATTGTAGGATGGCTCCGTTTCCTGAACACGTATATTTGTAGCACCACTTGGTATTAATAAAATATCATTATAACCTATAATTACAAATATTAGAAGCACAATTATTTTAGATACGTCACATTGACAAACCTGCTGCTAGATTAGGTGTTGTAAATCTGTCCGCAATGGTTTTACATGAGCTACCATCCCCACCACATTTTCTGCATACATCCTCTTTTGCGTCCGAACCTAACATCATATCACAACCAACATGTTGACATTCACCATCTACACAAACATCAAGATCCTTATCGTTACACCTTGTACCATCGATTACCTTTGTTTTTTGTCGGTAATAAAAACGTTCACCTCTGGGCATACAATTGAGCTCACAGGGATTTGGTGCATTGGTATACGGTACCCATTCGTAATAAATACCATCGAAGGGCATACGATTAAAACGCGTACATTGCTGTGCTCGAAAATCTGGTTCATCCTCAGGACAATCTTGTGTATTACATGAATAATATCTCCGGTTGCCACCTTTACAATCGGGTTCATAATTTCGACTAATAAGAAGAAATAAAAAATTCGCGGCATATAAATTTATTAATTCATTTTTTACATATGTTTATTTATTAATGCATATAAATGTATTTATTTTATAAAATTGAATATATTTATTTTAATATAATAAACGTACTTAACCCGTCGGCACTCTCTTGTTTGATAAGAAACACCGCCTCCACATGATCTTGAGCACTCAGAAGGAGAACTCCATTCAGTCCATTCATTTGGATCATCGCCTTCGCCACCAGGAGTTATCGAACTCTCTGGTAAATATAAGTTTTCACCATACTGTCTTTTTGGCCTATTTCCATGCTGAAATAAAAAAAATTTAGTTACAGTTCATGTAGACAGTTACTTCAAAGTCACTTACAAATCTAGACTGTGATGAATGAACACATATTAGAAGTGTTAAGAGTATTGTGATCGGCGATCTAAAATATAAATTATAAGTAATTATTATTTTTTTCTATAACAATAAAAATTCTGCAAATAAAAATTACTATTACTGAATTTCAATTTATTAAAATTATTATTGATTGATTTTTATTTATATGAGTTTCTTTATTCCCAACAAAGCGACTCATGTGAGGAATAAGACAACAACACTATAAAACAGTATCGATATAAAGGATACACTTTAAATACAAAACTTTAACTTAAAAGTAATGAGAATACAAAAAAGTTTAAGGTGTTTTGCTGCACTATCTATTATAACCATTTACCAACTGGCTAAATGATTGACTCGAATCTCTAGTATCAGCACCTAATGCAATTTAGAAACCTAATTAAAGAAAATGTCTGAAATTGAAAAAGCAAAAAATTATTGTATTCAATCATGACAGCAGGAGGCCACATGATACATCTAGCATATACTTAAGATACTCCTGCATCTGATTATTACACTTTACGATCTATGAAACAATCTTTTGCTGATGTAAAATTCACCTCAAAAGAGGATCATTAAAACCACCAGCCACAATTTTCAGATAATCTGACAAATTATTAAGGTCAGCTCTTGAAAAGTATGGGTGCAAAGTTTCATGCGACTACCTCAAAAACTGAGGGAGCTGATCAAGAATATACGTTATGACTTGCCACTGCTACCTAGAGATCCATTGTTCCTCGTACATTTAGGGATTTAGAATATATTTCTGAGTACAAACTATATAATACTGAGAAGTACAAAATAATATCGAATCTTTTTTTCATATTTTTATATGAAGTTGGTGGAACTTGCCATAGCGACTTAGAGATCTACTATAACGTACAATTTCATGAATATTTAGAACATCTGTAAATACAATTTAAACATTTTTAAAAATCAAAAAAAAATATTTTAACTGTATATAAAATCTACGAATTGTGAAAGTTCATTACATAAGGATTTGTCACTGCGACTTTGAGATCCATTGCGCTGCGCTCTTCTATGTTTTTATGTATTTATCTCTGAATACAAACTCTTCTTTACTAAAACGTTCAGAATAATGCTAGAACCTTATTTTATGGAGTCAAATGCAAACTATGTTTATTTTATATTATTATTTAAAATTGGGGGTTAGGTTAGGTTAGGTTGAATGGCGGCCTCGTGTACCAAGAAGGTTCACTTCAATTCAAAAGTTGAGGGACTTTGCCATTAATTTAGGATATATCTCTAAGTATCATTTTCTTAATAAATTTTAGTATTGAATTAATTTTACCGAGTGTTATTAGTAAATAGCGTATCAGATGCCCACCTAGGCATATCCTAAGTTCGTGCATCAGTGCCTAACAATTTTAAATATATTAATTATAATTGGCCAACTAATTTTTTAGCAATAAACTATGTAATACTATACAAATTATGTAATCCAATTATAGAAAAACGACATCGTCGTTCAGTGTGTCAAAATGAAAATTAGACGACTTATATTATGCCTTTCCTGAACCACTAGAGATATTGAAATAAAATTTTTCTTAAATATAGTTTTTATACGTTTAATGTAATCGGCTCACCAGAACTCCTTCAAATTTGGGTCCAATGATAATCAACTTATACATTTTTTCAAATGCCATAAAAGTTATAGCAGGTAGAAAGCTGGAATTTGGTGTACTAAATACTTATACTATATAGGTCCAAAACCCCTACTACAACCTATAAACAAAATAGTCTTAAATTAAATCGCTAAATTCGTACTGAATGTTATGCTTATTTCAATTGTAGTGGAATTAAAAAGTAACAAAGTTTTATTGTCAATTTAAATACTTTTATATGTAGTTGCCATATTTTAAAGGCAATTTCCGCAGATGGCAGAGATAATTTAAGCAATTCCATTAATTTTTCGGAATTCACAGCGAAACGTACAAAAATGTTTATACTCGTATGAAATTAAAACCTATTCAAGCCATTCAACGACAATCTTAGTCGCTTATACAAAGTTATTAAGTAAACTAAAGTTAGGAGTAAACAAAATAAAAAACCAACATAAAATAAATTTAAAATTAAAAAGAAAATAAAACTCAATTTGTTAAATAAACATAATTGTTAAAGCTGTCACATCTCAATCCCACAAATAAATGCAACAATAATTTTCATCTCGAAATGTGTACATTGAAGACTCCAAACACTTCAGAGTTAATTTATTTGCATTAAGTTACGCGCTTCTGAGTTATTTAAGAAAGAGAAGAGCCGATGCTCTACTTCAGTTCAACGATTTAGAATGGTTATAGTTAGTTTGATTTTGCTGATCAAGATTCATCAAGTCTCATCAATAAGACTAGCCAACTTTCATCCATGTACTGCATTTTTTCCTTCTTTTGGTTAGGACTGACGCCGCAACTAAATGTACGGCTATGCCAGTTTATTACAAGTGTGAAGAATATATTTTATGGCTTCAAAAACAATAACAAAATCTTATTGTTATATGAATTCATTGTTATTAATCCAATGGACTAAGGGCTCATCTTGAACTTAATTAAATTGTTGGAGCCGTTGTTATTTGATCGACTCAGTTGGCTTTATTTTTATGAAATTTCTTGGGCTTCTTTTCACTTCATTGTCAGAGCATTGGTCAAGTTTGCCTACATTACGCACGGTTGAAATAATAAAGCATCAAGAAAAATTTCAATTTTCAATATCAGCGCATATATAATAATATTATGTATATCGAAATGTTGTGTTTGGGACTTTGATCTCATTTAATTTGTTTACTTTAAATAAATAAATCAAATGGTGTAAACTCATAATCCAATGCATTATTAAGGAATGCTGCCCGTATTCAGTCAACCACTAAAGTGCCAACACGAAATTGCTATAAAATATTATTTGAACGCAGACAATGCGACGCCTCGGCATTCCGAATACGTTTTAAGTGAATATGTCAAATTCGTTCGATGTTGCTGCGTCGCTGCGATGTTGCTGTGATGTTGGTGTGATGTTGCTGCGTTGTTGCTGGCGTTGATTTTTATGCCAGTGATGCTGTTGATGTTTACCACCATTGGTTTTTGGTTTGTTGCCAATTTAATTTTTGACATTAGGATAAGCACTACATGGGATGCTGCTGCAGCTTTAATATTTTGATACAACACGCGACAATTTTAATACGTAAACTAAATTTCATTGCACTTTGTCGCCTCCGAAAACAACAGGAGTTCCGAATGTGCACTGCGGATTTGTGATAAATATATGTGCAACCCATATTTTGGTGTTGTGATTTTCTTATTATTTTTATTTTAGAATTAACTTCTTTGCCAGAATATGCTCAAAATACATGATTCTTTTTTCCTAAGTTCATAATTTTCATTTGTAGTCAGAATTGCATACAAAAACTAGTAAAATTATGCTTACAGCTTTAACACCCACCGTAAAGGAGCAGAATATATATTATAAATGACATTGGATATTCATTTATATAACAACAAATACCTGAATGTGTTTACTATATCACTTTTATATAGTATATAGGAATATGAATAAACTGGGTACTAGCTCCCAACGGGGCGGAGCACTGTGACCATGATTGGTCTTTAGTGCTGCAACAGACAGAACAGCAGACTTACGCTTTCCGAATGAAAGCCAGAATGTCAGCCGTTGAGCATCTCCTAATGCCAGAAGGGAAGCGTAAACTTACTTACTATTATATACCCCGAGCAAACTTATTCCAAATTTATTGATTTTGGCTTTAAATATTTTTATATTTCATAATCTGTAAAGGCTTATATAAACAATTAAAAATTAAAAATAATTAAAACACATATATTTTTTATATTGCATACAATCTAATTAATTAAAAAATCAAAACAAAGTTATAACTTTTTATTATATATACTTTTCTATACTTTCACAGCAAATTAACAGAAAACCCCAAGTTCGAACATACAAATCAAGTATGGCTTTGGGTCAATTAACTAACCCAAAGCACTAACTCTGGGCTTCAGAGTTAGTTGGCAGGACACTAGTTGAACACTTGGTATTTATGACAGTCTTAAAAAATTATGTACGAATAATTAATTAAGAGAAAAAATTACATGGCCACTAATGATGGGTATTTGGCAATACTTGAAACGGCTGTATGGTTAGCCAATAAAATTTAATTAAGTAATTAAACTGAAATTGTTATTGTTGTAATTTACCACTGTTCAAAATAACTTTCTGTTAAAAATAGTTATTTATATTAAGAATTTAGTTTCTTTCATCAAAATAATGTCCATTTTCAATCAATTTCATAAAAATAAGGTTATGGATTTATAGTTCACTTTCGTTAAGAAAAGAGTCAAAAAAAAATACCAAAATATCGTCGATATAAATCCTTTAAAAATTAAAATTTTTAAACTTTATGTATTATAATATTATAAATGCATTAATAAAAAAACCTGCAAATATTATTTGTGTTTTTGTGTTTTTTTTCAACTTAAATACATAATTTACAGAACGTTTCGTTCCGAATTCAGTGCAATACAACAACAATTTTATATATATTAAACGATATATTGTAAAGATTATTTGCCGTTTTTTACTATATTCCTAAAAAAAAATTTTCTTTATTAAAAATTAATTTTATTAAAAAATTTTTTGGCCATTATTATTTATGAATTATTCCCATCTCTCGTGTAGCTTCATAATTCCACAGATTTACAATTTCTGTGGCTTTGGGCGAAAAACTTGGCAAGGTGATTTGCAGCACGTTTTTGATCAGTCAATTTTTTACCATTAAGGGAGTTTTGCAGAAACCAAATCAAATCAAGCCAAAACCAACCAAGTTTTGACAATTTATTCTGAGTCTTAAAAGACCATTAAGCGATTAAAAATACCAAATACTTATTATATTACTATATATATTTCATATTTTGTAATATAGTTTGACAAATACATTTATTCAACAAAATGTAAACTAAAGATCACCAACAGTTATGATTGGACGAAATGTAAAGAACCAGGAATCAAAGTAACCTTGAG